TGACGGGATTAACTTAGATTCCATGTCAATGTCAGTTTAGATAAAATAAGAGGAAAATGAATAGGAATCAAGTGATATTTCAAATCAGAACTTTTCAATAAGGAAATGCACTGCGCGAAAGGTTAACCAACTTACACAAGAAAACATGCTCCAATAAGTAAAAATGTCACAGTGTGAGGTTTATAGGCCCAAGCAGTCCATGGATCATGGTCATCTTCACTCGAAGTGCTTAACTCACCATTTTGATACACAGCAAGATTCTTTAGTCTACTTCGTCCGTGACCATTGAGATCCATTACTGCAAGCAACAAGCATAAAAAGACAGAGAATTATAACCTCATATTATATAACAGTATGACTCGCTCTCTTCACAGACGAACAATATGGCAAACAATGTACGAAAACTTAATAAAATCTAATCAGAAGTGATCATAAAAATAACTCCAATGCCCTTCAACTAAGACGGAACAATTATTCCTCACTCTGAAAAGGTCAGTACTTGGTAGTATTTGCGAATTGCATAAGCGTTTCAAATGTAAAATGACTCATTCTAACATCACCATTTGACCTTATATCCAAATACTAACTCGTGACGAGCCAAAAGTCAACAATATTATAAGTTGCATGATTGCATTCAAGTCATCCTAGTAAGACCACCAACTAAAGGATGCAAACAAGAAGCAAAAAGGTCGTGGGCAAAACAGCAAAAGTCAACTAGAAAAAGGCATAAATAATTATTTGGACATCTAGAACTTAACAAGAACATAATAAAATAATGAAAATGTAATAAAATTAACCAAGCTCGCAGCTTTATAAACCCTAAAGACTTATCTCATCCTGAACACTAAAAGTAAAAACAGGTACCAACTCTGTGTTACAAAATTAACTTACTTTTTTCATCAACAGGATTAAATACAAAACCATTAAATTCAAGCCACCTTAGGCCGGAGCTAAAAGAAACCCAGAAAAGAACCGGGATAGCCCTTCACAACATGCAAAAAGAAAGCAAGAAAAAACATAACACCAACACGGAAACTCAACTAATTATACAAAAACAACAATGACCCAGCAGCTAGCATACAAAAAGCCTATCAAATTACGTCCAGTGCATGATAAAGAATCATAAAAGGTCCAGAAAAATAAAAAAGATCAAAAAAAGTTTAGTTTTTAATGAGACTGACTGAGTGACCTGCAATACAAGAACACCAATTCACACATACGGACATGTAAAAGAGTGTCACTGCCGCCAATGCTTAAATTACATAATTTTTTTAGAAAAAAATAAAGGGGAAAATGTAACAAATTTGTTGTTCTTTTCAGCTTACTCACGTAGAGATGTCACTGACAAACGGCCCCCAGTTCAAGATTGGTTGACGAGACAATATCAGCCTTCAGATCAAAACGAATTATCTAGATTTGGGGAAGCACAAATGGGGGCTAAAGGATAGCTACAGCCCAAGTCCAAGAACACGGCGTTTATGCGCGCAAATGAAGATGTTTAAGCATGTACGCAGCCATTAAAGCTGACCCAAAATATATCTGCAGAGGAGATAAGAGGAAAAGGGGTAGTGAAAGAGAAAGGTCCCTGCTTTTTGATTTTGAAGGCAGACGGCCAAAGGGGCTGTGGTGATCTGCGACAATTGTACGGCGGTCAAATGCGGTGGGAATATATAGAGAGAGATGGGAGAGAGTCCAGAGAGAGAAACAAATGGGAAATTTTTTAAGAAAAAAAAAAAAAAAAATGCCCTGTTTAGGTTGTGTTGTGTAGGGTTTATGACTTGTGTAGGGGTAATCAAATAATAATCAATTAAACCCCTGAAATAGCTATGGGCCTATGGGGATGATATAAGGAGAGAGAGAGAGAGAGAGAGAAGGGCTGTAGAGAGAGAATCGACTGCTTCAGAGGAACAAAATTAATGTACAACATCTGGTTGTTCCCACTTAATTATTATCTCCAACAAGGTACAACTCTGGGATGCTGGAATCAGTGAAATTACGGTTTTGCTCCTCGTCGTTTGATTTTCTTGTCTCTTTGATCCTTTTGGGTTGTAACGTGTTTCGTACTAAACTAAATGTTGCACTCAAATAATGAAATATAGAGAAAAATAAATGGCTTAACTTATAAATTAGATCTCAACAACTGATTCTTTTTTGTAATTGAATTTCAACCGATTTTGATGATAAAAGACATGCTTTTAATTTTTGAAAAGTGAAGCATGTAGTCAACAAATGCATACAGTCAACAAACTGGATGTTGAATGTTTATGTATTCGGCTTCTCATATGATGCGGAGAGGGTTTTGAAGTAAAAAATAAAGTTAGGTTGTGGCTGATTTTCTTATTACACACTTAAACTTTGTAGTTTCGTTATTTTTTGTTATATTTGGCCTTGCTTTTTGTTGACATTAATTTTTAATTAAGATGAATGAGTGAGTTGGAATTTAAGATTAATCAATTTTCGCCAACTATTACAAATTGAGTTTACCGTAGCAACAACTTTTTTAATTAGGTGTGGGTGACATTTTTTTAATTTATTGACGTTTTGTTCTTTTTTCTCTGACTAATAGTTGGTTTTGTTGAGGCCGTATTTGCAAAAATGTGTCTTTTAGATAAAATTGAAAAGAATGAATTAGATTACAAAAACAACATAATTTATAATTTATTATGCATAGTTTGGTGAGTCCCATGATTTGAACAATGGAAAATGGAGCGTTAGGCAGATATGTGATCAAATCAGTATAAGAAATCACATGCTTTGGTAAAGGTTATTGGAGTACAGCACTTGATTTATTGTATTGGGTCTATTCCCTGTAAATTAATTCAGAACATACCGAACTTAAGTGGTAGACTCGCATGCTTCGAGATCCAATGTGACAAAATTACATTGCTTGGGTAGATTTTAATTTACTTTCAATCCAAAAATAATTAGGTTCGGACTATCCATAAATATGTTGATTATTTATAGTCATGTTTTCTTATTATAACCATTGAATTGTAAATATATTTTAAAAGTTAATAACTTTTGTATTTTTTTATCAGTTTTACATATATAATATATCAAATTAATCATCTCTTGATGAGCTTCGATTTAACATCCATATTGTATGTATAAAAAAAATAAATTATATTTATCTTTATAACAATAATAAAATTATTTTTTTAATATTAATTAGAAAAATAAAATTATTTATCTATTAATATATTTATATTTCAATTAATTATATGATATAAGTTTTAAAAATTACTATAATATAACACTTGTAAGTCGCACAAGTAACAAGTGTTATTCTAAAATATGTAATAATATATATTTTTTTATAAAAAAGTGAATAAAATTTAAAATAATTTTTCTCATTAATTTTAAATTTAAGAATAATATTTTTAACAAACACCCGTGTAATACACGAGTGTTATACTAGTATAATCTTACATATTAATTAGTTGGGCGATACAATGCAATTTGTTGAATTTTAACTCATTTACTATTCACCGTCCCCCTATTACTACTTACCGCCCCCCCTT